TGATTTTAATATTTAAAATGATTCTGATGAATACTCACTTTTGTTTTACTCTTCGAGAATCTCATTTGAGTAATTGTTCGAAGTGGATTGGATAGACTCTCAGTACAAATTAATAAGAACAGAATTTTTCGTTTGTCCCGCAGATCAATTGAAGTTTCCCTGAATTTTCTCGATATTATTATTGTTGATTAATGATCGTTGGAAATACTTACTGGTAGCAATTTTATGACTGAATAATTTTTTAGGGCACTCTCCAGAAAGCATCGTCAATTTGCGGCAATTCTCTTGATATTTTCAATGTTTGGATTGCAAGTGGTTCATGGTTTATTGAGGTTCGCTTCATTCACATTTCAACGTTTACGAGAATTATTACTTTGCATTGCACAACCGAATTTTTTTGCCGTTAAATAATGTGGAAACGACGAGCGCAACAATAGTCGATCGACGCATCGACCACAATCGATCGACGCTATAATAAGCTGAGGCTTAGGTCGGTGAACGTGATCCAGCTGAATGATGTCGTATTGAAGAGATATTTTAGCGCTTTCGAGGAATCGATCGTTATCGCATCCGCTTAGTTGCTATTCATCGTTTTGGGGAAACGTGACAGACATAACTCGGAATTGACACGAGAAATTTCAGAAAATTCACAATCGCACTCAAATCTTCAATGAAAGCGAATATTTAAAGCTGAAAGAAATTGACGATATGGCGATTGATTTTAGCGACGGTATAAGTGAGTGAATTGATCACTTTTAGATGCGGCTTTCAGATTTTGCTGGCTGTATTCATTTGTGTTAATTTGACAAGATCCATTCAGTTCAAACCAAGATCACCCATTTCGAGTTTTTATGTGGTGTTATGCATTAACTGAAAGATATTTATAGACTTATCCACTTGTGACGGTCTTAACTTGCACGTTCTGATCCCACAGGTTAGAGGTGGACCGATGCTGTGGGACATCATTCATCGTATTGATTTTAAGGTCAGCTTTCGTTTTGAATAACTGAGCTTTTCAGTCAATAGTTGATTCAGTGACAATTTCTTATATCACTGATCGAACGTTCCTCAAATCCTATCGCCTTCTTTAGAATTACTTCTCAGTGTTTCAAGCAAAAATTTGACCGAAACGCATTTGCAAATGAAGCGGTCAATGGTTTATGTCGAGTGAGATTGCGTTTATCATCGCGGAATGAACGAATCCCATCGAAACGCATCAAATCTTTTCATGATCATCTATAAAGCTTCATGATGACTGATCTGTTGTATTTTTACTCGTTGTCACACAATCACATAATTCAGCCCAGTTGCATTCCTTTCGTTTACTCATCAAATGTGATTTCAGCTCCGTTGTATGCAACCTGAGAATGTGAACAGCAAGGAGTGCTCTTGGATCAACGGTCTCAAGTATTACGTATATTCAGCGGTAATGGGCCACTTTGCTGATTTTTCTCTTTAAATTGCGTGATTCTAATCATTTGCTGATTGTAATTTATTGTTTGAATCGTCAGCGATTGTGATCAATCTTTTTTCTGAAATATTCATCAAAAAGCACTCATATTTTACGCATTT